AATCGCAGACTTGTTATCCACCTTAGTTCTCAAAGATAAGAATCCGCATCCTATGTATTTATTTCATGTCCTCACGCTAAACTGAATTTTATCAAGTATCAGTCTTATCGCGATATTAGAAGAATTTAACCTACGATTTAGATACCTTTTAAGCGAATACCAGGTAAGTAAAGATGCGAAATCACTTGTAGAACCTTTCCAAAATTGAGATTTTATTTTGCTCTTACTCCTGGGAGCATATTCATGCTTCTTTTTACCTCCAACCGTTCCCGTGATTCTCAAGTGAATTCATCTATCAGTTATCAGTGTACTGAGGCTTCTTACTCGGTTGAAGGTATAATATGACTCTGTATTCTTGCACACAGAGAGAGGAGAAAGCTTGAGCCCTGGATTCCCCTTCAGAGCAGCCTCCCAGACGAGTGGAAGCTGAATACCAAAGTGACCGCCGATCATCTAGGCGGCCGAATAACCAAAGCATCGCAGTTCTCTCTACACCCCCTAGAGCTGCATTGAAAGCATAGCCCACACCGACAAAGTGCCCCTCTGCACAAGACAATGGGCAGCACCTTCAAGGACGCAATTATCCGCTAAGTTCCCGGCCTGAATGTAAATATGGGGACTCACCGTCTGCAGCATGCAACCCGAGACCCTAATTGAAAGGAAACAATTGCAGCATAGTGCCACCATGCACCCAAACCTCAGCCCACCCAGATCCCTCCTCGCTCATTTCACTCGCTGACTAACCAATGTGACTCATCGTCGAAAGGCGAAAGCTTTGCGTCAAGACGGCTGTCCTGACTTCATACTATCCGAGCAATTATGATGAATGGAATCAATGATCCACTAACTGGATTGAAGTTCAACTTCTGATATTATTAGCAAGAATAAAGCGAAGATAAGTCAATTTTTACAATGAGAGAAACAGACAATATTGAGTAGGAGGACTAAAAAGAAGTGAATATAAGCGATAACTGTACAAGAAGTGATCACGAATACGACAGGAGCAGGCTAAGTACATGAAAGACACGCTATCGTCTGGACACGGGCTAGGAGTTCGTAGTCCCCATACAAATGAAAAGAGAAAGTTAAAAGAAACTGACATCAAGGCAAGACAAGAGGTCGCGAGCGCCGCCTCATGTCACACCCATCCAGGGAAGTCGCACGGCGTAGTTTGTATGGATCAATGTTGTCCAGGCCGAGGTTGGAGTTCAAACTGGTATGAGAGCAGGCCTACAATGTTGTACTAACTATGAAACTAATTACGACTACACCATGCAGATGGAATGTTGAAAATATCTTCAAAGAATCTGGACTAAATTAAATCTAAAAGCAAACAACACTCAAGTGTGCAAGCTCAGCTGGCGCACTTAGAGGTGCTCCTATGAAATAATCGATGGTGCTACCAAATCCTTAGTACTTTCAGCTCTAGAGATAGCTCACACAGCCAAGTTGATATTCAGTTGACGCAACATGCACGCACAACAAATCATACTTCCCAAAAAGTAGTAAGCATCTATAGCATTAGAAAGAGGCTACACTATCCCTCATTAAAAAGGATGATTGTTCCCCAACAGCAATGGTTCACCTTAGCTTTTAAAAATGAAACAAAACTATAAGGTTAAACAGTGTTTCGCGAATAAAACTTTTACAAGTGACACAAGAAGTACCATCATCCCTGCCCTCTGTTAACTACCCAACGATAAAAAGGTGCTGAAAGCTATACCATACGAAAAAATGCTGCTACTTCAAAAGCGAGCAATAAAAACACAAGGCGTAGACTCACCTCGAGGTCCCTGGCTGCGTCAACAGAAAGCCGAGTGAACTCGTGGCTGGAGACCGTAAGATCCCTGATATCAAAGTAGTACTTAGTATATACCGAACTGGGGATGTTGATATTGAACTGGATAATCTCAAGGAAACGCCGTTCCAATTCATTCCTGGACAAAACAGCAATAAACCGGATAGCATGCAGATCAGAGATGCACGTGTCAACTTGGATTGTGGCAGTGACCCATACGAAGACGAGACAACTCACACGTCATCCACTTTAAGTTCATCGAGGATTTGGCAGTAGTCGACATTCCACACAGCCTGATCATCCCACACTTTACTGGCGAGGAGGATGGCACAAAGGAGAATACGCTTCCAGTTTGTCACGCTCAGATATAGTCGACCACCGTGGAGCAGTCTCTCGAGATAAACCTGCGTAATCCAACTTTCAATGGGATACAGTGCATTGCAGTACAAAAAAAGCACTGTCTTTTCTGACGCTTTAGAGCTTGCCAAGACACACAATATTAGTACATTGCCATAAAACTAAACTGAAGCTATACTAAAAGAGCAATCACAAAACCTTGGGAATAGTGCCGACGATCTCACACGCACAAATGCACACACGACTGCTAGCATGTAGGCAATTTGAATAATTTAGCCAAAGACATCGAAGTAGTCCTGCAATGAAGGCATTATCAATTTCACAAAGTGAGCAAGGATTACAGATACCCAAAACCAATTAACAAAAACATAATACCACTACAAATTGAATAAGATATCAAGAGAAAACTCGAACCTCATTGGAAGCGAGGCAATCTTCTTTCGAAAGTCAACAACAAATGGCTTTGTGAGTCGAATAGAGGGAGGGCCTGTAAGCATAGACAGGGACGTGTGGATGGGAAAAAAGAACAAAAATGGCGTGGAGAAACGGGGCGCAATGACGCAAACGACTAACGCAATTTGACACACCTTGATGACTCACTTGCGACACAGAAGGAGAAGTGAACCACGAGGTCCGCCTGTACACAGGACAGGAAGCAAATGGACACATCGAACAGCAGGAATATGCAGCAATGTTAAAAGACCATCTGATTCACAAAACCAACATTCAGGACGTGAATGCATTAACACCATGTTGGCACACCTATATTGCCGTCAAAGGCCATTAAAAGGTCCCTACACTCCCACGCTTAATTTTGATGGTGACGTAATGGGAAATTTTTAGCATCCAGGCCAGATGTTTTACGACATTGGAGTGGAATTTCCGCCGAGAAAGCATGGATGGAAGTTAAGTGAGAAGATATTCTAATGAACTGCGCCTCGATTTCACAAGAGCTATGGAAGCCGACCGAAGTTTAGTCTAGGCAATGCAAAAAGAGTGCGGAACGAGGACTATAAGACCAAATGTTAGATCGCCTGATTACTTAAACAGGATACTTAGACCTTACATCTTTCTTTTGATCTCGGTATAAACAACCGATTAAATGGGTTTGAAAAAGGATCAGATGTCAGATATCACTTCCCCATGCAAGCATATGGGAGTGACAACAACCATAAGCAGTTTCAAGAAAGGAAATTAGCCTGCTTAATCAGAAGTTGTTTTTTTTTGGTGATGTGGCACCCACAGTCACGATTATGTTCACATTTCAGGCTAAAGCCTTCATTCCAGTTAGTCATTCGAAGCAACGTGAAAGGCAAAGGCACCCTCCCTCATCTAAACAACCAACACCGTTAGACGGAAAGGTTTTACAGGAATTCCAATAAAGCGTCAAATCGGCCATATTTTTTTTCATTAATTACAAGGCTTTCTGATGTACTAATATGGGTGGTAGCTGAAAATTAAACAGTCAATGGCAACCTACTGCAAAGAGAAAAGATGGTCAAAGAGCAAACTTGTACAAATTCCCACTGAGGGGCATAGTAACTTCAGCATCAATCAGAATGAGGAACGGAAACCTTTCAACAGTCGCCAGTTCGCATTTGTGAAAAAGTGGTGGCTTTCACACAGTCACTGAAAGAGATGTAATGCAGTCCGCCAAGTAAAGGTGGACCAAAGATAATTCTAAGGCATCGCCAAATTGTGGAGACGCAAATGGAGGTATCAAATAAGTGGTAGCTTCCGTGATACGACTCTTGGGGTAAGTGGGTCATCTATTCGATAAAATCCAAAGAACAACTGGACGTTCCCAAAGCCTAGATCTTGCATCTCATCATCGCAGTCGAGTACGATTTTACTTCCACCGATAGAGTGCAGCAACAACTATAATGCGAATGTGGTTGTCTATGGACCCGACTTGATAATTATGTTAATTAACTACTACACTCCAACCTTAAATCAAACGACATTCAAAAAATAGACGTGGCTTTGCAAACGGTCGGTTAGTTGTAGAAAAGATTTGGACTTACAACATCGTTAGACGGACGAAATATACACAATAAAATTGAGAACACTTGAAGTAAACAAATTATGTGATTGCTGGATGGAAGGTACCTACCATTGTAACGATAGCGCACTCGGGAGACAATTGGGCGTTTTGGAAGATCTTCCTGATAAACCTATGAACAGTCTTGAGGCTGGGAGGAAGATTAGGATTCTCGTCAGGTGATTGTTCAATCTGCGTTGAGGAGAAAAGAAGGAGAAGAAAGTTGCCTTATTTTATGTGAGGTGGAATTTTGCCTTCAGGAGATTAGGCAACAGCAGCCCTTCATATCCATGTATCCCTTAGATCGAATTGCAACCCAAAAGAAAAATACAGATTTATCGCAAAAAAAGAGAAAAGTTAATGCTATCAGCTGAGGCTCAGACAATCGAATTTCCTAGATTCGCTCAGACAACTTTAGTCTGATTATAAAGTATTGCTTTACGATAAACACTAGAAATAAGCCAGTCTAGAGAGATTACACAGAGGTGGCAGGTTTGAAGTTTCCATTTTGCGATTTTCTATTTTCGACATGGCGTCAACTGTGACAGCAATTTTACGAAAATTAGTTACCGAAAACAAAGAGCAAATCTCGACTATAAAGTCTCCAAAGCTAAGGCTACAATTTAACTGATTCAGCCTTAACATCACTACGTGGCAGATGAGACATCGCACTCAGACACTACGACTTAGGGGTAAGCCAAAGGTTCACCACTTTCACAAAGAAACCACCGAGACGGCTTTTGATTAAATAACGCGGTTCGAAAAGAGGGGAGAAATCACTTCCTACACATTTGCAGGAGGTTCACTTCTTTCATACGCAAACAAACTGCGAAGGATCTACAAATAGCTTTTGCGTTGAAACGATCGCAGAGACGCCACTCGTCAGTTAAACGAGAGCGATTCCCTAAATGCATCTTTCTCTTCTGTTCAGGAGTATCTCGGGCTAAACCTGGCCCGTTGGCCAATCTCGCTCTGGCCAGACTAGACACTTGCATAAGGATAACACAATAGCGTTCATCTAGATAACATTGCGACAGGATAAAATCTGAGTTCCAATAAAACACTAAAAGCCTAAGCACATTTAAAGATAATCCATTAGAGAAAAAGGTTAGGAAATATAACTTACAATAGTGAAATGTCGCATTCACAAAGAATTCAAAAGCAGTAGGCCGATTTGAATAGGTAAACAAATTTTGCGAACCAAATGCATGAGCCCTGACTATAGACATTCTAAGCAGCCTGGATCAAGTCCATAAGCACCAGTAGTGATGGAAACAGAGACGGTCATATAAGGAGGTAGAAGGCGAAACAAAGGTCTAATAACATAAAACACACTATATGCTCATCCCCTTGTTTGGTTAAAGCAAACGGTTGCTGGATTACAACAAAAAACGGCTGTTGCCGGATCGTAGGTTATTGTGTTCTTAAAAATAGTGGGGACTTGGTACTGTCTACCACTCTGAAGATAAGTAACCGCATAGATATCACTCGTTGAGAACCAAAACATGACCTTCGACCTCTTCGAGACAACCTGTCACAGCCCAACCAACTGGTCCGAATAAGAAAACGATCTACCTTCATAGGATGAAGAGTCTCATCAAAAATATCAAGATCCCCTTCGACGGTGTCCATGGTGTTACCAGGAGAGCGAATAAGAAGGCATATAGCGATCGCGACGGCCCTAATAGTCGCACGAGAGTCCGGTTTGGATACCGTAGATCCATCCAAATACATCTCCATTGTTGTATTCGGTCTCCGACATTCAAAACGTCGCATTCTCTTTAAGAGCTAGTTATAGGAGGGCGTTAGAGATTCGCTTGGTTTCAAGTGGGAAAAAAATGTCCCCATAAGGGCCAATAAATTGCCATTCGAATTACAAAGAAGAATCAAAAAAGTTGCTATGCACGGTGAAAATTCATAAAAATACTGAGCCCAGAAGAACCACTGGAATGCTCAAAAATGTGGCTTAAAGAAATAACGCCAGAGAGATCGGAAATGATAATTTATCGACTTACTTCAAAGTACCAAGGCTGTCCACCTACAGGGAAACAGCAGAGAGTAGATAATAGAGGGACACTTCAAAAAACAAAAATTGACAATAAGGCATAAAAAGAACAAAATTTGATTCCGAATGTTTGAACTTGAGAATATAGTAAAAGTGTGCACCAAGTGTAGCTGGACAATACGAAATGCAACTAGCTTACAATTTTTCTCCTTGATAAAAATGGTTTCTCTTCTTATGTTTATTGAGGGGTCCGAGTCTTCATCTAAGAAATAAAATTCATAAAACTTTATTCATGAAAAAAAATAATTTAAGATAGCTATTGACGAAAGGCAATATTGCGGCTAGGCATGAAAGGAGTCCATATGAAAAATGATTAATAGAGGCCTATGACGCAGGAACGAGCATTAAAATGGTTAAACCAAGGCCGGAGGTTTTCGTACTTTCCGGCTCTCTTTCGGAAATGTGCTGAATTTCGTCCGTCTTCTCGTAAATGCAATGGCGATCTTTGGAGTGGTTTGAAGGAACGGGGAAAACAGTACGTAGTTGAGCGCTAGGTGTACATTTAATAAATGAGAGAGAATTGTGATCATCAGCAGCAAAATATGATGACGTAAAGAAAGCCGAGTGCGAAGGAGCAAATGACTGAAAATCTTGATTAGTCTGAGAACCAGCATCCTCTTCGGGGCACATCTGTACCACATTTGAAGAATGCACTCCACGTTGAACCTTCCTTGCATTGCGGAGGCAAGAGCGACAGTTTCCCATGGTTACTATAGACACAAAACAACAAGAATGGCACTACTGCGTAAAATAGTCCCGAACCATGAAGGATAATCGAAAGCAGCGCTACAGGAAATTATTTCTACAGGAGGACATATATCAACAGCTAGGAAGATCATAATAACCATCCAGATTAGAAATTGCACATAACCGCATATAAGCAGCATTCACAGGGACGGAGATGACTAACGAAAAGGTTGAAAATAAAGTACCACATCGTTTCACAAGGGGTGACACATTTACCAACGAAGCAACGAACGCCACACGATCAATCGAACGAATTCAAACGCTGAAAAGATTTTAAAAATCCAACTTAATAGAGAAGAACATTAAAAAACCCAATCTAAAATTATCCAACTTAAAGTGTGCTCGATTCGAACGGGCAATAGGCTACCTGAAAATTTTATGCAAATGTGGAAGGATTGCATGAGCGAGTCTATAAGGATACCGAATACAGGTTTATCGGTGAGCAAAGTATAGTAACAAAGAACACGAGAAACTTTTAATCATAGTACTAAAACTTTATATCTAAGTACACGCTACTAACAACTTAGCCTTTTAGCGCGCACAGCCTCCGTTGAATTTTTGATATCCTCCGTCTAACGATTCCTTATTTTAGTCTAGTTTTTTTTATCTACCAACAATGTTAACAAACAACCGATTCTTAATGTTTAAATCGTTTCGAGAATTAGAATTGTTTAATGATCACCGCTTGTGCAAATCTGTTAACAAGCGATAGCATGCTATATCTTGTCTGCTGAATGCACTGCATGAACGATTGCTGTAAGCTTAACGGATGATTTTTGGGAAGTCCATTAGCATCGATGGCTGGAACAGCCTTAACATTACGTCGGTAGCTCTGCTTCCTCTGTAGCGTCCCAAGGCTTCCCATAGGGTAGAAGAAGGCATAAGTGGAGTTGAATACATGTATTCCGAACATGACAGGGCAAATGAGGTGTGAGCGTGACCCAAAGGCCAGCCTACGTGTAAAAGGGACAGACAACTTCTAAAGTGACCGCCAAACATCAGGTAGTCACATAAACCTGGCCTTACGCTGCCCCTCTCTTCTTTTGAGCAACGTACTCGGCGCGCCCCTTGGTGCACCTCCCGCGCCAGCCGTCACAGCATATTCGGTACTACAAGAAAGCACCCACGAGCCAACCGCGCCAGTCGACAGATAGCATCACACTGAGGAACCGTACCTGGTCTTTTTGGCAGCTTCAACTGCATCTGCATTTATGTCCGGTGTGACAACCAGATTCGGGGCCGCATACATCTGTTGACCATCAATTGCTTCCAAGACTAGACGGTGGAACTCTGATCGAAAACATATATGTTACAGGGGAAACGGGACGCGCCACTATCCCGTATGTAAGGGGAGTCGTAGTGTCATTTCCGACACCTAAACACGGATTTCGTATGGGGAGTTCGGACACAAATCTTCTCCCGACAGTTCACGGCGCTGTCGCTTCGGTTGTTAATAGCTTGTCTGTGGAACGGTGAATAAGGTGAAACCAAATGCAGACGTACGTCCAAGTCTCTTCGTTGTGAAGGATTTGGGGATTCGCCCGCCACCAAGGCAACTGCGCCTCCTTCAATTCACGTCCCTTCTCGCCTGTATCTTCATCTACTGCACTTCGATGCAGTCAGACTTCCTTCTACACATGTATAGCTCATGATTGCCAGTGCACAACGCCAAAGTGCGCATATTAATCTTCGATTTCTCCACTAAAAGGTGGACCTTTTCTTTTAAGTCTTGTCTGCTGGTTGGATTATAACCTTCTTGTCGTGAATGGAGAGGTTTCGACCTTCCGTCGAAGGGAACCTGTTTTTGGGGTATCTGCATGTATTAAACCAGTGCACCATCCGACCGAACCGTTGCTCATCGGCTTGTTCGTGCTGTTCTTTTCCGAAAATAAGTCGATTGATTGGAAAAGGTTAGCAACACAAACGTAGGATGGCAATGAGACAGCGTTGTCTGTTGGACAATAGATTTTCCCACACTATGTCTCTTTCAAAAGCACCTTACACCTAGAAGTCGTTAAGAATATGTCGAGTTCGTTTTCCGCTGCCACCAGTGTAACGTCCGAGGCTTCCCAAAGGGTGGAAGAAGGCTTAAGTGGGGTTGAATAGATGTATTCCGAAGACGCCAGGGCAATTGGGGCCTGAGCGTGGCCCGAAGGCCAGCCCACGTGTACAAGGGCCAGACAAATTCTAAAGTGACCGCCGAACGTCAGGTAGTCACATGAAACAAAGCATTACATCCTCTACCTCATGCTTGTTGCTACGTTAAACCCTCTTTATATGCCGTTCAAGTCCTGGTACTTGAAGAGAATAGTGACTTACGGCACGACCTTGAGGCCAACCTCTTGGCAAGTCGATGTAGACACTTAAGCCTTCGGAACTAATGCCGGTGGTCAAAATATTGCAGGTCCACACTTCGAAAATATGTTGAGGGAAGGATGTTATTTGTAGCGCATTTTGCTATGCTCTCAAGATCTTGTGCTTCGGTCCTCATTAAAGGAGGTCTATTCTGTAAAGTTTTATTTGGCATTTAACGCAGCGTGCAGGAAGGTTTGGTGATATTATTGGGGGGTCTCCGACGCTAGTCGAGATCAGGCTTCGCAAGTTCCTCGGAAGTGACGTTTGTATTTTTTAAGTCCGCCTCTACTCTGCAGAGGCAATATAAACACAGTGACATGTGTAACAGTCATTTCAGCTCTTTGGTTTTAAATACAGTTGGGATACTTGAATCCTCAAAATGTGCGCGGAATTTAGGTTATATGACTATTTCTTTGACTGGCAGTTACGTATATTTAGCCAAACTGAAATCACTTTAGCAAGTGGTAACCCTCGAGGCGTTGCGATAAGATTTTTACTCGCACTGTTGGAGTGTGCCACAAACATTAGAGAATCAAAGCTGGATTTGGTCTTCACTGTCACCACCACTGGAAAGGTAAGGTGCTTAAACAGAATATGTATTCTTTAAAAAAAGGAGGAGGATCGTGGTTTATGCACTCCCTCAATGAAAGGGCGCCCTATTAAGGCATTAGTGGGCTTAAGTGCTTGCGAATGATACTGACTGTTAGTAAAATAACTGTGTTTTCATTTGTTCCCTCCTCTCCAAGACTGATCAATTTTCTTCGTCGGAACAATCTGCATACGCTTGCCAAGAATCTTTCTAGTTCTTGAAATTTATTACTGCAGATATGTCACCAGGGTTGATTAGGGCGCAAGTGTGGTAAGGGAATCGTAAAAGCGAAGTTTTTTAGATGGTTCCCAGCAATGTCGATTCAACTATCAATAGGCTGTTTGTGGCACACTGTAGTGCAGTATATGCTTCTCTCAGGAGTCATCTTTAATCGCCGAGTTGTAAAGAAGTACATTCACTTTACCCGCACCGCAGGTTTTTGTCCCAAACGCTGAAAATCAGGACAGAAATGGTAGCATAGTCAAATCCGTTCACCGCCATCCTTGGTGTAGCGTCGTAAGACTTCAAATTAAGTCAAAGAAAGCATCGGTTGAGACTTGTTACACTTTTTCTGAGAGGAGGGTAGGAGGTTGGACTTCGGATTTGATCGAAGACCAGCCCAGACAGACAGGAGCAGGATGATTACCAAAGTGGCCTTCAGTCAAATAGTAAGTCAAGTTATCGGAGTGTTACAGTCTTTATTTCTTCTTCCTAAACGGACTGGAATATAACCCTATTTCCCTATAGTTGGACGAGTACATAACGTTAAATGAGTCATGTAATTTGTTTCTTCGTGTAATATATACTAGATTGTTTAGGTAGCGGGAACCAATTGGGAACGCGAATCACGTGCGCGAAGACGGTGAGGAGATTCTCTCCAGTTGATATCTCCTATTCGGCCCATTTGCATCCCAACTCCCTTTCTTCCTGTAACAAATGCCAAATAAGTCATCTGCAACCAATCCTCTCTTGAAGTCCGAGGTTCGAGGGCAGGAGGGTAGGCAGGCAGTTCCTAACTTC